GTAGGACAATCATTTTTAGTGGTGTCGAAAAAGGATCATAGGAAAAAACTGTCGTGGAATAAAAAAGACAGAAATAATCTACAATGGATGTAGAATGATTCCAAGAAAAGAAAGTACAAGCCATTTATGAGAAAGTATTAAAAGATAATAGTCTCATACCAAAATGAATGAAAAGTAGACAGGAGGAAAGATAATATTGAATCTGCTTGGAAGTAGTTACTTGAAGTTATATTGCAAAATATAACAGAAATACATCAGATTATGCAAATGATAAATGTGAAAAAGACAGTAGAATGAAAAAGAGTATATGAGAAAAATGCAAATTAAAGTGTGATTGTTACAAAAAGAAGAGATTTATTTAATATTGTATTAAAGGAAAGGATAGGTGAAAGAATGTAATCAAACAGAAGAAGGAACAATAAAAAGAATCAGAGTAAATGCAGAGCAATTTTGATTGAAATATTTTTTAAATGCTATGAAAGTGGATGAAGAAGAGTGGATCATGAGCTTCCAAGAAAATAAAACAGAATTAGAAATTATGAAACTAACTAGGATAAAACCTAAATGAAGGAATGCTAAAGGAGGATTTTAGAAATTTATGAGAATGATGTTGATATGTCAAAAAACAAAACTGAAATCAATGCTATAAATGGGAGTGTGCCAGGAGCCAAGGTGGCGCAGTGGTTAAATGCAGCACTGCAGGCTACTGCTAGATCAGCAGTTCAGCGGTTCAAATCTCACCGGCTCAGGGTTGACTCAGCCTTCCATCCTTCCGAGGTGGGTAAAATGAGGACCCAGATTGTTGGGGGCAATATGCTGACTCTCTGTAAACCGCTTAGAGAGGCCTGAAAGGCCTATGAAGCGGTATATAAGTCTACTGCTATTGCTACAAAAGAACTGAATGAAAGAAAACTCAAGATGCTGATTTAAACTATGGAAGACTGTATTTGTAGAATGATTGTACATTAATTCCCACATCATCTGGCAAATTATTTAATGGTGGTGCTTATGAAGGTATCTGACAGAATTCTAACTGAAAAAGTGTAAGAAAGGCCAACGATAAGAAGTATAATTCTGCTATTTGAGTTTATGCCAAACAGAGTATGTGCAGATTATATTTTTGTTTTTCAGCAGATCGCTGAGATACATGTGAGAAAGTTCATTCCATGTTTGTTGATACAGAAAAAAACATATGACATAGTAAACAGGTTTGAATTACAGAAAGTTTTATGTGAAAGGCAAAAATTACACTAAAGTGAAACATACTGAAGGATTACCAAATGATTCAAAACCAACAACGAGCTAAGAACCATATGCTACCTTGGTTATTTAATATACCTATTTATGAAAGCATAAGGAATACTTGCAGTGATATTGTATGTTTTCATATAGATTTTATGTCATGATGTTGTGTGGATGGCTAAGAACCCAGACAATTTACAAATAAATAAATAAATATTTATATACAAACACATACACACACACACACACACACACACATACCGCCTCATAGTGCTTTACAGCCCTCTCTAAGTAGTTTATAGAATCAGCATATTGCCCCCAACAATTTGGGTCCTCATTTTACCGAACTCTGAAGGATGGAAGGCTGAGTCAATCTTGAGCCTAGTGAGATTCAACCTGTTAAATTGCAGGCAGCCGACAGGCAGCAGAAGTAGCCTGCAGTACTGCACCCTAACCACTGTGCCACCATGCCTCATAGTAATTGGGCTTCAAAGGGAAAATGAGATAAATAGCACACACTAGTAAAAACTAGTGGTTAGTCTGCCATTAGTTTGACAAGCAAAACCACCTGTGTCTGAGAGTATATTTCTGCCTACTTTGTTTATATAGAATTGAGAGTGGAATAAGACATATAAAAGTAGACGATTTACAATAGAAAGGGATTACATAAGAAATATATATGGTAACACAGAAAAAAATTAGGAAAGAATGAGAAGTAAATAGACCAAATTGAAAAGTGAGTGGCCATTATGAAAATATACTGAGGTGACTTAGTCCTCCAGAGAATGAAAGAAATTGCAAACAAATCTAGGAAGAATCCATGGACTGAAAGGAAGGAGGGAAGCAAAAAAAAATCATAGCAGAATAAGAGTTGATGAGACCCTGAAAACAATGTTTAAAGTTTAAAGAACAAAATTAGTATATATGCACTGGTATATGGAAAGGTATGGATACAGTGAATTTAGCCCAAACCAGGAAAAAAAATCTAAATGTAGCTTTTCTTGCATGCACATACGGAGTCAGAAAAAGCAACTGGCAAAACAGCTATACATATGTGCCTAAGCAAAGATTTGGCTGCTTTTACAGTTCAAGTACCTCTTTCAAAGGATTTGAACAGCCACGGCTTATTGTGAACATATTCCCTGTATAACCTTGCTTTTAATGTTACACAAATTAATTGGGCAATTCAGTACAGATTCCAATAACAATGCTCACCAACCTGTGAAATTCCCTACTGCTAAAAGAAGGAACTGATCCTATCTTTTTGGTATCTTTTGGTAAGCCCATGGCCAGAGATTTCTTGTTAGCAAAGCTGCAGCTCCTCCTCTGAATTACCAGCAGGTGGTGGCAACTTGTCACAAATGCATGCATGAAGCTGACTGGTGGCATTGTGAGTCTTTAAAAGCTGAAGGCGTTCACATATCATTCTCTCAAGGGACAGAACATCTCCTCTCTTTATTCATGGATAAATAGAGAAAAAGTTATAGCCAACTACCTAACCCCATGGGGCAATTGAATTAAACTGTGAGAATAGAATTTAATTTCCAGGCTGTTTGATTTGATCACGCTCCCTACTCCCTGGTTCATCTGGGAGCTTCTCCCAGAACATATAAAGGCTGCACAGAACAAAAAGCTGATACAGCTCTTGAGAAAAGAGTAGGTTATTAATACTGACACAGGCAGACATGGCTTCCCATCGCTAATGTGGTGTTTTCAACACATGAAAAATGGGTCACTGGCTTTAAGTCCCTCTCAAAGAACGTATGATTAAACATGGGAAAAGATGAAGAAAAAAGAGAGACGGGCAATAAAAAGCACAATGAAGACAAGCTCTTCCAGGAGCAAGTTCAGAAGATGTCAGATAGTCACTTCTTCCTCCAATAGATGCTTGTAGAGCAAACATTCACTGAAAGATCATCTACTGTAGCAAATCTCTTTGGTGGCACTGGGCAGTTCTTGAGGAATTCTTACATGTCTTACTCTCTGCACACCTGCTCTCTTTTTCTCCTCCTTCTCCAACCTGCTATTATTCATACACATACATACTCACACATTGCTCTTCATGTATAAATATGCGTGGGTGTATGCTTATTTCCCTTCATCTTCTCAATACCTTTTGAGATGGGATAGTTGATACAGAGCAGCTCAAGCCAAGTCCTTCAAAAAGAACTGATTTAACCTGTTTATGATAATCTACCTGCTATGTAGCAAGTACTGCTACTTTATAAGGCTTCTTCCTTTCTTACTGCCCCCTGTTGCATTCTGAAAATACAATGAAGCAAGTGTCCAAAAAGGAGTCAAAGTACGTGTTCATATAAGGGTTATCAGAGTATGTCCTAATGGAAATTAGAAATTGGAGACCCTGGTGCATGTGATTGAATATGTTTACACTACACTATTCCGGCCTTCCTCACTTGTGCTTTTTTTTAAATAAAAAGGGCACCGTCTTTGAGAAATGTGCATTAAGAGACGGATTAGTACATTACAGATAAGTTTACAAATTTGTACAGCTTGCTTCAAGACTCCTAGCCTACTCTTAAGCCAGATGCACATAGCTACTACTATCCTCTCTTATCTGTCTCCCCGTTTTATTCAATGAGATATATTCTCCAAAAAACCAAGTGTTAATCAGTAGACTGGATGTATCACAGCAAATGTAACAACCATTATTAAAAGCTGCTTTCAGACAGCTCCTTCATTTCCAACAGAATAGCAACCCCTCCCAAGCAAAAAAATCCTTTTTCGCCCATTGCCCAGATTCTCTGGCAGTTATCGCATTCACTTTTACGTTGAAATCTTCTTAAATAATTATTTTAAATAAGGTAAAAGCACATGTCTGGGTCAGGCAAGCCGGGTCCCATCCTTGTTATTGATTTGAACTCAAATAAAGCTCCTTTTGCACAGGCCAATTAACATATATCCACAGCAGCTATAGTGCCTAGCTCATCCCCACCCCAAACTGATTTTTTTCAACTATTTCCTTACGTTAAATATTTTGGCTTGTTGGAGTAGAAATATTTTCAGGCTAAATTTAAGACAGAACATATACCTAAACACTGCTAAATGTTAGTAACAAAAAGACAGGTATGACAAACTGCACATGAATTTAGGTAAAATCAAAGCATATATGGGATTAAGGACTTAAAGATTTAATGTAATTAAATCCATTTAAATTCCAACATTAATTTAGTATCTCTCCATAAAAACTAAATAAATGGCACATTCAACTTTTTCCCTGCTGTTACCCAACCCTTTCATTGCTAAGAAAACCGTACATTTCCATACAGAATTTCTGTCAATTTCATGAACAGTTACATGGGCAGTCCAAAGATGGAGCTGGGCCAAGTATATCATATTAATTATATTTTCTCATGAAGAAAACATAATGAAAACCCTACGTAAAGACTTACATGGCCCAAAAGGAGAGGCAGATAAAAGCAACTTATGCTTTGCCATTTCTAGATACACAGTCTCTACCAACTTAGATTCTGCAGCCTTTATGTAAAAGAAACAAGGATAAGATATATGCTAAAAGGAGATTATGGGACCTGAAATACATCCCATAAAGTGTGAAAAACTATAAGGGGAAAAGGGAGAGGGCCAAAGAGAAATCCTTGAATGATTTGGTTCTTGAAGAACACCCTTTGATGGTCTTGAATTTATGAAAGTAATTTACTCCCCAGCCCAGATGTTGCAAAGCCAGACTACCTTAAAAAAAGGAATAAGACAAAAGCCAATTTCTAGTTTATGGCTCTTACCCTATTAGGTGTGTAAGTAGAATAGTAACAGTGCAGTAGCTCTTGGGTATCTTCTCCTTTTAGATCACCACAAATGACAACCTGTTCAAAGTATAAAGTAATACATTTTTTAGTCCTTTCTCTTTTTTTGAATATATTTTTATTATTTTTACATTTAAAACAATGCAGTATCGCGAAGTCGAAGTGACCATACATTCACATTATATACAGCTAGTGTCAACCATTAACTATTAGTCTACTTAATACATTGTCTATCCTTCTGTCCAATCACTATATATACAGTTTGTACCAGTCTTGTCACCTTGTCTTATACCAATCGTAAAATCTGTTCCAGACTTCAAAATATTCTGATTCCCCTTTATTTTTAAGTTCAAGAGTGAGCCTATCTGCTTCCGCAGATAGGGGGGGAACAATTTGCGCTATCGGTTCGACCAAACCGGGCCGAACAGGCTGAATACCACCTCTGATTTGCAGAAAAGTCAATCCCTGCTTGTGAGTTCTGGTACAAATTCCAGTTGTCTCCCCCTGTGCAGGTCTCTTGGGCCGGCCCACAGAACGGTGAGTTGATTTCCTTCTATGAGCTGCACCTGCAGGAGGCGAAGCTGGAAGGCCAAGGGAAAGATATCCATTGGTTTTGCTCACAGACAGAAGAGAACTTGGAAAACCTGACTCCTGGCACCACGTACGTGATCCGGGCCCGAGCTCTCAACGTGGCAGGCACAGGGAAATGGAGTCCACCTTACAGGGTATATCTACTGCTCTGGGGCTCGGGGAATATACTAGGCATAATGTTGGGTCTCCAGAAAGTCAGAAAAAAACACTCCAAAGAGCAAATCTGGTGGATCAACCTAACATTGTCTAC